AGGCTTTCATGTGTCTTGCCTTTCCTAATCAAGTCCAATCAGTATAATCAAACACAGCTGGACTCAAATGAAGGTGTAGAACCATCTCAAGGATGATCAGAAGAAATAGACAGCACCTGAGTTAAATATGAGTGTCACGGCAAAGGGTCTGAATACTTATGACCATGTGATATTTCAGTTTTTCTTTTTTAATAAATTTGCAAAAATTTCTACATTTCTGTTTTTTTCTGTCAAGATGGGGTGCTGAGTGTACATTACTGAGAAATAAAATGAACTTTTTTGATTTTTGGAAAATGGCTGCAATGAAACAAAGAGTGACAAATTTAAAGGGGTCTGAATACTTTCCGTACCCACTGTATGTGGTACAAAGTTTGACTCTATTTGTTGTTGCATTTGAATGCTAAATTCAAAATGTATCAGCATTGCAAAGCTAATAAATCCATCTAATGGCATTCCCATGAGACAGTAGTAATGATTTTGGCCTAAATTTACCTTTATTTATCCAAAAATTCAAAGGCATAAACCTCACCTGATAACGTTTCTTATCAGTTACACACATCAAATAACTTTTACAGTGAGGAAAAACAATTGGAAGAAAATGCAGACTTCCTTTCATTTTCAAGCACTCAGATTAGGTCCATAGTTGTGATATTACAAAGACAACACAAATGCATTTCTATGAACTTTGAATCTACCTTCTACCCTAATTTAAGACAAATTAAGTTTTTGCCAAAACACCCTCATGTCTCTTTGAACTAGACCTAGGCACCTTAAGTTATGACCCTGGTGAGTCACCTGTATGGATTTGAGAATGTAGTATCCATTTTCCACATTGAGTGTGACAGAGTCCTGGAGGAGTGTGGCAGTCTTACTGAAGTCCTGGATAGAGATGGAGACAGTGATGGGGTTGGATAGACCGTCTGCCTGTAGGTAGATGTTCTCCTGGCTGTCTGTCCTCAGCAGATCTGGAGCCAGAAGGGTGAACCTGCAGGAAAACACCACAACCTGAGGCATGAAGTACTACTACTACTTTCATTGTCGTTAGTACTACTTGACTAACTACTGATACATCGACTACGTCAATACTTCCCAATCACATTTATATTCCTGGAAATGTTGTGAAGGCTTTTAAATCAGCATTTAGATACATAACATTAATAGAAAATATATTGAAACAGTTAACTGAATTAATTCAATAGAAACATGGCCAAATGTTTCAGGTGAAGGAGGAACTTGGACTCATTATCTCTGACCCTGAATACTGCTGCTACTGTTAGGCCACAGCTGCTGCTGTGCAACTATTACCACTAAAAACAAACAATACTTAAATGTGTAACATTTTGTTTTGAAAGATAACAGGCACACTGCAAAGCTTGTGAAGGGCAAGCAAAGAGAAAGAATTGATGAGTGATAAGATGTCAGAAGGTTACAGAAGGTTACAACAGAGGTTAGGTTGGAGTAAAACTTAACCCAGTCCTCAGTTAGTAGTACTATTCTGTTTGACTGTTGTATTATTGACAACTGTACCTCGGTGCAGAACTAATTGAGACCACTGGGTCTGCAGCGCTGCAAAAAACAGGACAAGTATTAATTTCATCATGATAGATTCGTCATGACACAACCCTGCAAATTTAAGCAGAGCATTAAAAGTCAGGTGGTATTTAGTTTCAGTGGGCTATGGCGACATATGGAAATTACAACAAGAAGGGAAAAGGAAGTGACACTCTTGTACTAACTTAAAACAAAAGAAGCAGGAATTTGTCATTTTTAAACTGTTTGTGTCAAACACAGTGTATCCCATCATTCATTCTACAACATGATAAGAAAATAAATTTTTAAACTGTATTTATTTCTTTCATCCGTTAAGTCCAGCTTTGGTAACTTACCCGTGCATACAAAGAATGTTTCTGCTGAGACAAATCTGGGGAGCAGAATCAGAAATAACAACTTAAGCTGTCAAAGGTTGCAACCGCATACATGATCTCTATGCGTACACGCACACTCACACTCACACTCATACCTGTGTCGCCAGCGTAACCTGTAAATAACACAACTTCATTAGTAAACACAACTTCAAAGGTGTAAATTGTCCTAAGTAAGCAGTCAACAAAAACTTACCTTCTTTTACTTTCTGTATGTCCATCGCAGTTGCAGAGAAGCACGAAAAATACAATGCCCTGTAGCATCCACTGACTCATGTTTACTGAGTGGTAGCCTCAGTGGACTGTGGCCACAGGACGAGATGGTCAACTTCTATAGCAGACCCCAAGCCCCCCCTCCTACCACATCAGACACTGTACAGTCAACAGGAAGAAGAGGGGCCATGGTTTCAGATCAATAATAAGGCCCGGACTGAAAAAACAGACTCCAGGTTTGCTGGTCAGCAGGCTCTCACATGCAACCTGTTCCCAAACTATAAGGAATCAGCATTAAAATGGGAAAAAAATGTTATTTCAGATACACATATAAAAACTTCGAAAAGACTCCGAAAGGACAAATACACTTCCGAGTTTTCTTCATTTCATCTTTCATCCTCATCCCCAACAGTGCCCTCTAAAGAGCAATGCCACTGCTACATTAGCTGCCTGTGATTTAACTATTCTTTATCTTCCATACAACAGTGCCACTGCAGCAGGTTTACTAATTCCTGAGCGATTTGAGGTAAAGACCATTTCAAGTGTGCGTCCTGAAAGTTGTTAAAGCCCCTAAATACCCACATCACACACACTGTTCTGCATGATTAGAACTCCTCTCTGGACTGTGTGTGCGTGTTCCAACTGTGGTTTACTTGCATCTCTATCACTTCGCCGTTAGCGGTGTTCAACTTCTTACGGTGGGACAACTAATCATTCTTATTAGTACATAGAGTTTTGTGACATGTAATTCGAGCATTGCGCTTCTCAACTTCAACAGAGCAGAGGTCTAATCAGTAACAACAACTGAACCTGTGTGGGTAGGCATGACCTTTAACACAAAAAACACCCAGCTTAAAGCAGTGTCTGTAACATGCAGTGAAGTTTTCAGATCACTCACAAAAGAAAAATACTATGAACTGCACTGGACATTAAGGTTCTTGGTGAAAACTAGATTTACTTATTTTTGTAATCATTACTCAAAATGTTTTTAGGTGGCATTGTTTCTGCTTTACAGGAGATACTGTTAGTGGACAACATGTACTCTCTGCCGTCTCGTGTATGTTAAATGAAAGTAGGTTAGCAGCTTTGCTCTTTGATTCTTGACCAGAGTCAAAAACATGATGTTCACCACTGGTTGAGGGTGGGGTACAGCAAAAGGCTGCAACAGTTTACAATGTTCAGATAACAAACTCAACTCAAATAACAGTTTTAATGGTATTACACAGTATTTTGCATTTACTTTTACAAGGTGTCTGACAGTGTTGTCATCAGTCCACAGATATGTGGAAATCTAAAAAACTAATAACATTTTAAGCTGGGTTTTCAGCATTTGCACTTAGTCCTTATGAACAGACTGGATCATCATATGACACATTCATGACAATGATTTCCGCAGGCCGCCAAGCTTAAAACTAAAATCTTATTTCACACATTTTGTGTTAGAAAACAAAATATTTCCATTGTGACCAGATAGACGAGTTAACACCACTGTTTTCACAAGTGAACGGCAACACATGTTAAAGCAGATGTCTGCAGCTCTCACAAGCATTTTCAGTTTGTGTTTAACTCTTACAAAATGATTATCATTCAGCCGCATTGTCCAGGGTCTGAATCTGAGTCGCTGTAGTCTGCCACCAGAGATGTGACGGCTCCCAAACTTTTGTACTGTTCCTTCTCCTTCCCAAAGTCCTTCGTTAGTCCTTCATCTGCTTCCTCTGTGGTTTTGGCAAGCGCCTCCCTGAAGCCACTGTCATTTGTCTCTGTTACCTCCTGTCCCACTTTTGTAGTGGCTATACTTGGGGCTTCCTCTCTTTGTGCGACCTTTGAAATCTCTCCATCACATGTGTTGATTTCAGGGTATGACTTCCTGCGAGTGATGGTGGCGCAGGGTTCAGTTTTAATTCCCAGTCCTCCTGTGCGTTTGCGGATCAAGGGGCTGTGTGAGGAGCCCAGGGCTTTGGCCACTGCTGCTTCTTTCCCCTGCAGGCCAAGCTTATGGAGCAGACTGCCTGCTGCACTTCCTGGTGTGGCTGAGGTGGAGTTGAACCACGAACGAGAGGAGATCTCTTTCCGCTTGCTGTGCTGCTTGTCGTCATAGGCTGATTAGGGAGGGAAGCCGTGTTAATATTAGAATTCAAGCTCTGTTTACATACAAATAAAGTAAATATATTAAAAACATATTTAATCTGTTCTTAACATTTGCAAAAAGAGAATGTTTTTGGTGTCATTAGAATTTAAAAGTTTGGCCATGCGAAAAAGCAAAAGTAGTGAAGAGGATATAGGATTTGACAAGATAGGCTTTCTTAAAGAGGTCTAATGTGTCTGCCATTGGCTATTTAGCTCAGTTAGCTATTATGTTATTGGCTGAGTCAAGAATGGGCACCAGCACCTGGTCTGGAACCGTGCAGACCAGGGTCAAACACAGCCTATGAGACTGAGGGAGACCAGTTTGATGACAAGGCTCAGCTATATATTTTGGCCAAATCATACACTGTAGCTTTAACATGGGTATTTTTTTCAGTTATTTTCATTTTTCTCTTTACTGTTGCACCATAGTAAAAATTTGACAAATGTTTCCTATGATTTTCTATCACAATTATTTTATTTATTTTGATGCAGCAGCTTTTTTTTATTAATACAAGGCCCGTGTCCACCAAAGCATTTTTTACCAGCTGATAACGCCACCTGCTCTTCTGAAAACGCCTAGCTGGGAGCCCTAGGGTGCGTTTTGAAGGCACAGTGGGGGGGTTTTTCGAGACACTGTGGTTGTGGTCCGTACGTGGATTTTATGAGATTTTGCGGGCGAGGAAACACCTCCGCGAGTAGCACATCGTTTCGTTCAAGATCGGATGTGCTCGGTGCGGTGTGTGTCCCGCCCCTTCTGCACTGTAATTGGACCGCTGGGTAAAAAGTGACAAGTGACGAGCAGCGTTTTTCCCCAAAGTTGAACATTTTTCAACTCTCGCCGACCGGAAAAAAAACACTCAGCGCCTCATCACGCTGCTGGCGTTTTTACCAGCTTGGAAAAACGCGGCGCTCCCATTGGAATGAATTGAAAATAGACGCTGGCGTCAGAAAAAAACACTTTGGTGGTCCTAATACATTCTTTTGCCAGTTTATTATGTACAACTAAATACAAGCAAAAAACAATGAAGTGCCCTGAAAAATGTTCTGTTTCTAGAAAACGTGTTGATTGAACTTGACGTTCATTTTGGAAGCTGTAGTCTGGTGTTGCGGTAAGATGTACTGCATTTTTACTGAGGGGCGTTTTACATCTCCATTACATCAATGCAAGTGAAGTAATTATTATATTATATATATAATTATATAGACTGAAATTAAAAAAAAGAAATAAAAAATTGTGCAGACTTTGTGCATGTGTGCTGTCTGGATGGGGTTCAGATGGGTTTGTAAATGTGAAGTTTCTCAAAAATATGATGTGTTTCCAGGTCCAGATAACACACTACATCTACATTTTGTTCTAAAAGGGTCTTCCGAATATGCATTTTTATAAAATCCTTCCAGTTAGAAAAACTTGCAGCATGTAACCTGACATGTACAAGAATAAGCTGGTCTGCCCCATTTGAAGAATTCAATTTAAAGAGCTGCTTATGTCAGCCATCATATTTCTCTTAAAGACGGTGATGGTGCATAGATGTTCGCACATGTATTTGAACAGTGTGTTTGTGAGTTTAGACCCTGTATCTGTTACGTACAGTCAGGTGCCTGGTAGGTGAGCAGTGCTGCCAGTTTCTTGTCCTCCTCCTTCTCTGGCAGCAATGGTATGGACAGGTTGGTCCTCATCCTGACTGTGTTGTCCTTCTCCTCTTGATCAGCCAGAACTTTCTTCTCCGTCTGCCCCGCAAATTAAATCAGCGCTGTCAGTTTAGTGTGCAATACAATCTCAAATAACGTCAAGAAATCTGAACCTGGAATTACTGCTTCATGTGCTGCTTGAAGTCATTTTCTGGTGATTATTTTGTCATCTTTAAAATTGTAGTTTTTGCATAAACCTACTTACTCCCATGTACATAGGATGATGTGTGAGAACGACAGGCATGCAATAATTGTAGTGGATTTTATAGAACAATACACATTAGGAAAAAATACTGTGGTACTGCAGGTTAACACAACTTTAATTAGCCAATTTATCAATGCAAAGGCACATTTCAGAGAAAGATAGTGAAAACAACTGATGATGAATGTAATGATAATAAAACAGTTACCAACACAACAGGGCACTATCCTACCCTGAACTTCCTGCGGAGGGTACTGTTGAGCTGAAAGTCGTCCTTCCAGCTGGACTGGTAGTCTTGAATCTCTGACAAAGAAGGCAGAGCCTTCTTAAACTTCTCCTTGTCTTTCCCACCATGGTCCAGTTTAAACATGGCATCTGTCTCCAGTTTCTCCTTCTCCGTCCGCTCTGTACAGATTGAATTGATTAGAAACAGAAAACATACAGACAAAAGAAAAATCAATTATCTCCACCTTTATAAAAAAAAAGATCTGGAAGACTCTTTATAACCTCATAGCTGTGAGACCATAAAGACAAATTTTCAGTTTGTGATGGGCTGTGCACTTTACACTGCATGTTCAAAAAGGAAAACCTACGTTTAATGGTCACAGGGCTGATTTCCAGCCTAAATTACACCATCAAGAAACAAAGCAAACATGTATCCTTTACCTGTGGTGAGTATCTGTTCATTTTCAGCCATGTCCCAGCGTTCCTCCTTCCTGTTTGCCCCAGATACTATTACATAATCGCAGGTCGCTGGATCTGTCTGCATCTCGATGTAGTTGACACACAGATGGCACTTCATCCTAAACCTGGTTGAGTAGACAAAAACTTTTAGAGGTCAGAGATCCATGATGATTTTCTGTTGTTTAAGGAGATATCATAAACTGCACCACAAGCTTAGAATGTAAAGTTCACATTAACAGTCAACCCAGTCCATCTGTGTTTACCTGTAGATTGGCGTGGTGTAGTAGTTCCCCACTTTCTTCTTCTCAGCATTGTAGCGGACCCCTGCACATGCAGAACATTTGTGTCATGGATATGAAAAGACATTGTATCAGACTGTGAGACCGATCCTACTTAAAAGTTGTTCTTCAAACTTACCCATGCCAATGTGATTTTTGCAGCCATCACACCAGATGTTGTAGGGCATCTCAAACCTTAATGAACAAACAGTCAGTTAAAACACTTGTTTGTTGAAAACAATGAAAAACACCAATTCAGGGATTAAAAGTTCCATTACTTCCCATCTCTTTCTTTTTAAGATCTTCTTTACAGATGTACTGTAGCATTTCTGCCTGTCATTTGTTTGTATAAATATTAGGGGTGAAACAACTAATCGACGTAGTCGACAAAAATCGATTATTAAATTTGTCGCCAACAAATTTAATAATTGATTTGTCCATGACGTCATCGGGCCGTAGCGATACCATCAGCTTAACGGGGTGAAGTGATAGTATTAACACCTAAAATCACAGAGTTTTGTGAGTTGTTGAGTTTGGGGAAACTATATACTTTGTGAAACACTGTCTACTACAAAATCATTATTATTGGTCCCCTTTTGTAAATTTGGCAAATGTAATACATTAAGTTATTCCTTTCTTATATATACACACATATATATATATACACACACACACACACACACACACACACACATAGCGTCATTGTGTTCAGTACCAAGTTCCATTACTTCCCATCTCTGTCTTTCTAAGGTCTACTTTTCGATTATTCGTTTCAATAATCGAGAGATTAATCGTTTATCAAAATAGTCGTTAGTTGCATCCCTCTAATAAATATGATAATAAATATGTTGAAATAAATGTACCTGTTCGATAACATGTCAGTACCTGTATTGCAAATGATAATCATTAATTATTTCTGTGTACTAACCTGATAATGAGAATGCCCTGGGACAGTTTCCTGGCCCTCTCCCGCAGAGCGTGGGTGTTATGATAGCCATTGAGGGATCCATGCTAAAGATAAAGAATGACAGCAGTGTAAGTCAGTATATTCACACACAAAAGCTGAACTAAAAACAGTGACACATACTGGTCTGCGGGATCATACACACCTTGGCCGGATCAAAATCTGGAGGGTAGTACTTGTTTGTTCCTTTTCTTTCACCCTGTCACGTAAACAGTACAGGGGTCTTTGTTAGTAAAGAGTACAACATATGTTATTATCTGTATCTTGACAGACCGATTATATACATCACTGCTTACCATAGTGACACCTGGATCTCCACACCAGTAATGGATTCACCCTTTTTTCACCTGAACAAAAAAAAAGTAATGTCACTGACATCATACTGTAAAGCTCTTTGGTTACATGTAAAAACAAAGTTATATACACTTAGTTGCCAGTTTAAGTCCAGCCAGCTAAAACTAAGGTTAAGGTTAGGGTGTTGTAGGTGTTTCTATTTTATCTGCTCTTTCACATTCACCTTGGTTAACGATACGTTGGCTGATTTCCCTTAACTTTGTTGTCTTAAGTACCTTGTTTAATTTGCTAACAGAACACAAGAGAAACATAACTTTATCTTCTTAGAAACTTAAAAACGCAATCCTTCAACAAATTTACTTAGTTAGTTAACGTTAAAAACGTGTAAACAACGTACGTTAGTTATAACGTTAAGTTATACACAACGCCGTGGAAACAGTTAAGTTAGCAACAACAACTTTGTTTGGCTAAATACTGGGACCTTCTTTCGCTTCTTTTCTGATAGGTTAGTGAGGTGTGTGTGTGTGGACCGTAAACCCTTACGTTGTTTTATAAGATATATGAAATTATTAAACTGCCATATTTTGCATAGAGTTTGGTGTGACAACGCATCGGAGCTAATAGCAAGCTAACATTAGCATTAGCTATGTAACGTCAGCGACCTCTTCGTGTTAATATGGCAAACATGTAGCTAAATGACAACTGCAAACAAACTCATTTTAAACGCGCTGCTGTCATGTTTACTCTTCAGCACAAACATAAAAGATACTTACAAATGCTCTTGTAGCTGCACAAGCAACCATCAGCTAAACACCAGAGCATAACGTTCAGGTTTCGGAAGTTGCGTCACGTTGCAGAGGATTGTGGGTAATACCGGTGTGAAGACGGAAAACGTGCTCGGAGCAGCAGACTCCAGGGGAAAATATTTTCAACGTGTGTTCGCTGTCGTATGTTAACACCGCAGATATGAAAACTAAAACGGAACCGCAGAAACGTTACATCTGCTCGTTTCCCGACTGTCCGGCGGCTTATAACAAACAGTGGAAACTGGACGTTCACTTGTGTAAACACACGGGGATCAAGCCGTACTCGTGTGAGCACGATGGCTGCGGCAAGTCCTTCTGTAGCCCTTATCACCTGTCGCGACATGAGCTCACTCACAGCGGTGTGAAGCCTTTTCACTGCACCGAGGATGGCTGTACGGAGGCCTTCACCACCAACGCAAACCGGAACAGACACATCAGCCGTGTTCACACCCAAGACCAAAAGAAGTATGTTTGCAAGTTTGAAGGCTGCACGCTCGAGTTCAAGAAGAACAAGCAGCTAAAGTCCCACATGTGTGAGCAGCACACCCAGCTGCCCCCTTACCCGTGCACTTATGAAGGCTGCCAGATGCGATTCACCTTCCCCAGCAAGCTGAAACGACACGAGAAGGTGCATAAAGGGTACCCCTGTGCAGAGGACGGCTGCAGCTTCATAGGAAAGACCTGGACGGACTACCTGAAGCACAGGAAGGAGCAGCACAGGCTCATTGTGAAATGTGACCAGTGTAACAAGGTATTTAGGGACTCCTGGTTCCTGCAGCAGCATCAGCAGGTCCACTCTGAGATGCGGGTGGTCCTCAGGTGCCCCCGGGAGGGCTGTGACAGATCATTTACCACAACCTTCAACCTGGAGAGCCACATCAGCTCCTTCCACGAGGAGCTGCGGCCCTTTGCCTGTACCCACGCAGGCTGCAGGAAGACCTTTGCCATGAGGCAGAGCCTCCAGCGCCACAGCATTGTCCATGACCCTGACAGAAAGAAGCTAAAGAAGCCTGGACCCAAAAGATCTCTTGCTTCCAGGTTAAGTGGTTACAGCGAAACAAAGAGAGTGGTCAGGAAAAAGCGCAGGGAACCTGAATCCATTAGAGAGTCTGCTCAAAAGACTGATCCACCTGGTCCGGTTGAGTTGGTGTCCCTCCTGCAGGACACGTCCTTGCTGTGCAGCCCTGGTGTGGACACACATGGACTTACTAATGCCCTAACTACACCTCTGACCATGAAGGCTTAAATAAAGGAATTCATATGAACATTTTGAAGACAGCCGGCACTAGAAAAGAGCATTTATGATGTATTATCTTTTCTACCTCGGTAGTTGGAGTTCTTTATGTTGTGTAAATTTAGTCCACCACTTTCTTGGAATCAAATCTTGTTGGCATCATTTTCAGTTATACTCTCTACTTAAACTATTTCTGGTGGACTTTTGTTGATTTTCTGGAGCCAATAAATCCAGTATATTTGTGCCATTATAAATTTAAGAAAATAAACCGTCTATGTTGTAAATGTTTTTTTTGTAAAATGTAATGTAAAATAAAACATTGCAGTAAGACATTGTTGTGTCTAAATTAAACCTGTGGATGCCTTGATGAATGTATTTTGTGTCTGGATATTCTGTTCTAGTCCATTAGGCCTAATGTGGGTAAAAAAACATGTTTTGATATGATGCATTTTATCAGTTTAAATCCATAAAATGATAAAAATTTGGCCATTTTACATTTACAAAATGTCTGGCAGGATCTTTTACTAATGTGTATTATTATTATAGAGAGAGAGAGAGAGAAAACCTGCAGATTCTTGTGCCTTTATGACACATGGTGGAGTGTCTCAGCTCTGACCATCAGATTTACAGCATTAACAGGAGCAGCTCCATACAAGTTTGAGATTCCAAGGTTAAATCCTCTCTGAATATTTCCCGTTACTAGAAGCCTGCTCCCTACATTCCTGCCCTGCTCTGTTCAGACGAGCCCTATATGGACTGACTGTCTGACCAGCTCACCCAGGAATGCACAGCAGACCTCATCCAATGAGTATTTGTACAGTTTGAGTGTAACGTAATCATTTCCTCTTCTTACATGGCTTTTTAAGTCATAAAACCTGAATTCAGCATGTGGAACAAATGCTCAGATTTGCCTTGATTAGACTGCTGCAGCGACACTGACCGCTCTTTGTAACACTGCAGTGTAATCGCTGTGTCGTCTCATGAGTCAACATTTGTTTCTACAAACTACACATTTTCAGCTTTCTTTTGTAAACTTTAACTGGTGTCCTTTGTTTGGCCATCTTATTTTTAACCTTTACATCTCAGATTTTCCATACTTTTAGCAGCTCATGTATAAATAGATATTGTTCCTGTTCTATTTTTATCACTTCATATCAGTTTTGGCATGAACTCAGGCTACATTTAGCCAAGTCTGGATTCATGCCGGAGCATCAGCTGTCTGGCTGCCTGTGAACAGATTAGGTAAAAAATGGTTACAGGCTACATAAAATGTTTTTTTAAACATTAGATAAGGTACAGCAGGTTTAAGTATGATATATATATATATATATATATATATATATATGGTTTTTTTTTAAAAATGAAGTCTGGAATGAAGAATTTGTCTGGATTAAAAAGGAAGTAAGTAATTTCTGGTGGTTAAAATTCCATCTGGATTAAGAAATATATTCTTTGTATAAGCTAACACCTATAGAGGAGCATGGATGTAATTACTGTTTGATTTTAATTGGCAAGATCAAGTTATTAGATGTTCTATAAATCCTCCAAAGTAGAGGATTTATTTTCATTTTTCATAGAAGAGAAAGACACACAGGAAGCGGTATATTCTAAAAAAAAAAATAAAAGTCTGCTTCATGAGAACAAAATAAACGTTCTGAACGTGCAGGAATGCACCAGAGGAGAGAGTGCTGGAGGGAGCGATTTTCCCCTAAAAGATCTATGATGCCTTGAAAAAGATTGAAAAGTAGGGAGCAGAAAGCAGCCCAGAGGTTAGACAAGCTGCGAGGTTCCTACTGAGAAAGCTGGGCCATTGGGGATAAAGGGACGACCTGCCCTGCAATAACTGTAACTGCAGGTGTTTCCTTGGAAAAATGATGAAATCTGCAGCTGCTCCTCTAGAGTTGCTGTGGCCACCAGTAGAGGATGTTTATCAATGTGAAAATCTGTTGTACGTAAGATATATGTATATAAACAATTTAAGAAAAGTATTGCTGACAAAGCTAACATCATGATATTTAGGAGGTGAAAAGTTTAACTGTGCTAAATTTGCTAATTAGCATTCATCACAAAGTACAGCTGAGGCTGATGGAGTTAGTGTTGCAGGTATTTGGTCATAAAACACGGTACTGGACACATTTCTGGTGCCAGAGTAAAAGTCAGGGAATCACCAAAGTAATCAAAATCATCCTGTGGAGGACGATCCATCCAATAGTTATTGACACATTTCACTCAAAACCATGAATGTCAACCTCATGGTGATAATGGGGAAAAGCCTGGGGATCACCAAATCCTACCACCAAAAATCCTCACATAATGAATCCCATGGGTAAACATATTATGTTGTTATCTAAGAGCTTATTGTGTGATTTCAATCCAAACAGGCTGTCCTTTGTTTTAAATTTGTGATTATCAATTTTGGCTTAAAGAATAGGTGACACATTTAAAATGATTGGTATATAGCACCAGTAAGGTTTTGAGATCTGGCCAGGTTTACCACTGTATAAAAATCATTGTGTCTTTTATCCCTTATTTCTTATCTTTTTTCTTTTTTCTTTTTTTTACAGAAATTGATGCCACGTTCTTTCCATTCTTTTCTCATGACAACCCTGAATTCCAGACTGGTTCTTTAGGCCGTAATCCAAAGGGATTTCTCTATCTCCACTGTATTTCTCCCACCACCTCCTCTGCTGTCCTTCTGTCTTTTCATCTCTTGCTTGGCCTTTGTCCTGCTGTCTATTTGAGAGGTGGAAGGAATGTGTCAGGCCCTTTGCCCTGTTGTGTTCTTTGTTTTCTGTACAAATTACCAGGAAATAGAAACTGTCCGTGTGAATGATTTTGCTTGCTTGTGGACAGCTGAGTTAAGCAGAGCTCTTATTGTTTTCAACTTGTGCAGGTTGACAAAGGTCTTTATTTACTGTATCTGCAGAAACGTGGAGGGTTAGATTCCCAGTATAATTACAGTCTGAACAAGGCCATGGAGAAGATCCAGACTGGGTCAAGACTGGGTGCAGTTTTGTGTCTTGCTCAATGGCGCTTCACCGTCACTATATTTACCCCAGGCTAGGAGACTAGGACTAGGAGAGGTCCAGTGATCCAGTTTTGAGTGCTAAAACTCACATTCATTAGCCTGTTAAAGCCATTAAGCCTTTTATATTTAACTCTATAAGATAAAACAAATCTATTAACATCACATTTGTGACTCTTGAAAATAAAGTTGTCTCAATTAGTGTTTATATGAAGGTTAAGAGGATGGTGATGTGAAGAGGATGTTGATTTTTTCTTATTTTCATCCTTGTGTGTGCATGGGTTTTCTCCCACAGTCCAAAGATATGAAGGGCAAGTGAATTGGGATGTCTTAATTGCTACAGGCATGTACGTGTTTGGCTGTTTTCGTATATATGATCCATCCTAAAACATTCAGTTTAAAACTGTAAAATGAAACCATCCCTTAAAACTATTGGTGAATATTTAACAGGTAGTCCAGAATGCATGAAAATAGGTAGGATACTGAAATAAAGCATGAAGAAACATAGGTATTTGGGGGAAAATGTGCTCAAGTCAGATGTATTGAGTTTCCTAGGCTATAACTGAGGAGGAGCTCACTACAAAAACACTGTAATTTTTCAATTTAATGTCTAATTTACTGCAGTCTCTAAAACCTTATCCTTGAAAGAATTATAGAAATTCCTGGCAGTAAATTTCCTGGGCCATTATTAGTTCAAGATTTAGGGATGATTCCTTTGTAATTCCTATCAACAGAGCTATAATACATGAAAAATGGGGTTGTTTAAATATAATAAATAATCTTGTCTCATTGGACACACTCCTCATGTCTAAATATAACTAAGTGAAGCCAGGAGTCAGGCATTAACAAAATGCAGTAGAAATAATGTAATAGTTATGATAACTGCATTAATTGCCTGCATTGTAGTGTATATTTCACAATATACATATTGCTTGAGTTGCTCTTTTTCACAAACATTTTCTCACAATTCTTTAGCTTTTATCTTTAGTTTCACACTTTCATGATGCACCTGCCCGTCTTATTTTGATTGTTAATTCTGTCATTGTTATTATTTTAATGACGTATCCAACATATGTTTGAGAAAAGTAGCTACTTGGCTAACAGTTATGTTAATCATATATTTAAATATCATCAAAGTATCAAGATTAGTTAGTTTTTGAGTAACTAGTAATGCACCATTCCTGTTTGTCTAAGCCACATGGAGCGTTTGAAATACAACTTACAAATGGACCGCATGGGGAAGCATTAGGGAGTCAAAGAATGTCTCTCTATGATAGTCAAATGACACAACCATATTGGCTTGAGTGAGTAAATCTCTTACCCAATATGAAACCAGTAAAATCATTCACTTACTAACTAATAATTTCCATTTGGCACACTCAAGCTGTTGTTATAGCTAAAATGTTTTGAAAATAATCAGCTAATTTCCTATGCACTTGTGTATCAATCATCATCAACACCAATCATGTCAGATGTAGATTAGTGTAGGAAAGACAGATAGAGAATACGTTTAGCAACTCACAAATTGATATGGGTTCAGTTCACAATTTCGGTTACATCAGTTGCTAAATGAGGGTTGCACTTTCTTGTAAACTCCAAATTCCATTCACTGCCTTTTTGGGCCCTATAACCGTTACATAATGCATATTCTACTTATTCTACATGTCAGGCACACATTGCTGACGAGATCCCTCAATTTATGGACCAGCTCAAGACGAGTCACCCGTTGTGGAATGTCTGCTGAAACAGGCCCTGTTGCGTTCTAATTATAACCCGACTTCCCTTACTTCTTTGGAGGTTAACCTTTTAAAGTTTTTTTTGCTTTCCTGTATTGATCCTCAGATGTAACATTTAAAATAAGATCAGTGACAAAAGCCGAATACAACAGGGGACTATTATAAGACATTTCACAATGTATTTTCTGCCTCCTTCCTTTACATTTCCTACATGGATAATTTTTGTGTTTATGTATTGATAAAGTTCTGTCTATGAATTTATAACTCGGCTGCTTGCCTGCCTTTCCACTTCCGTGTCTGTCTAGCTACCTATCTACTGATTCATTTATCACACATTCTTCTCAGCATCATCAATGTGACATCATTGTCCACTCCTTAGCAGCTTTTAAGAGCCCCAAACCTCTGGGAATCCATATTGCCAGGGGCCAACATCCTCTGGAAGAAACATCTGGGGGAAAACTTAACAATAAGCTAGTGATTTACACCAATTAGATAATCCCAACAGGACAAATTCTGGGTCAAGCTCCCGCCTGCCCTCCTACGCTCCCTGTCAGGCACAGGTGAGTGGGATAGTCTGTTGGCAAGTAACGGGTTAGTCTGTCTCCCCCCTACAC